TTTTCGCTTACATTTTTTTATAATTTAGTATATAAATTATATCGTTAAAATCGTGATCATAACATTTTTACACAATTTTAAAATCTGTTAACAAAACAATTGTATTGCTTTTAAAATTATACTATTTCTAAAGACCGTATTTTTCTGAAGAATGAATCTTCTTTAAAATTTCAGGATTTTTTTCGAGTAATTGAGAAAATATGTCACATGAAAAATCAAAATTAATCAGTACAGATAAAACCGCTTTCACTGTATTCACATCCATTTACGATTTTTCTTTAGTCCAATAGTTATTTATTCGCGAAAGTACCCGTTCTACAGGCGCATTGCTGCTTGGCCAGCACATTGCAAGCTCAACAATTCTTTTGATATTTGTAAATGGTATATTGTTTTTTTGAAAATAATTGTTTATTTCGCGCCATTTGTCTGTTATGTGTACGGATTGGTACCATTTATCGTCTTTTGAATCCAAATAACCTTCAAGATAAGTAAACTCGTCAAATAAATCGTCGGAATTAACATTCAAAATTGCACATTTTGAAGAGAGAGACAGAACTGCCTCGTCGAATTCAGACCGTGAAGGCTTACAATCTAAAAGAAGGCACTTCAAATCAGACATATCATCGTTGTTATCGTTCCAAGCTTCTAAATATGAAATCGCAGCTTCATAGAATTCTTTCGACGTTTCTAAATAAGAATCTTCAGTAATGATATTCTCAGCAATCAATTTAGTCAATTCAGGTTTTACAACAAGTGGAACAAATTTGGCATTCTTTCGTGCTTTCAATTTAAATATCAAATCCTTGACAACCGCTCCAGATTCAATAACACATTTGTCATCGCTTTCAATTTTCAAGATGCTTTGATTAAAAATTGCAGCATGCGAATGCGCAAAAAACAACCATAACTCGGTTGTTTCACTCTCAAAATAATTCTTCAAGATTTTTGGGCACTTTTTTTCAGACAACATAAATTCTTTAAGAGATAAATAAATTTTAAGAATTCTTTCTGCAGCAGGAAGTAATGTCAACCACCTAACATGAATGTGTCCTAAAATTTTATGATATTCTTGGTCAGCATACTCACAAAATTCTTTCAGTCTTTCAATTCGGACTGTGTAAATTTTAAAATAACTAAAAAGTTTAGATACCATAACTTCAATATCTACAGGCAAACAATCAAAAGCAGTTTTAGCGCCATTATGTATAATATGCGCATTACACCCAAAACCAAAAATATCTCTTCCTAACTCAGTTTGAAGTTTAGTATGAACATTTTCTGTTCCTCTTCTTAACAATCCTCCAAAATTAGTGTTAGTATTATCCGCAGACAAACCAGCCATTTTATCCTTCAATTGGAACTCGAATAGTGCGTTTAATATTTCTGAAGATAAAATCTTTACAGTTTCTCCTTTAATTTCGTTTAGTGATACAAGTTTATTATTAATTGGATCTTTAGCACAGTCCCACTGAAAATACCGCACTAAAATAGGAAGTAATTTTACATGATTGTGATTGGAAGTATCGTAAGATATTGTTACAAATTGAACAGACTGTAAATCTTTCTTCAATTCAAGAAATGCCCACGGAGAAAAAACATTGACAGCGATAGCTTCGCATTTTGTTCGGGCACAAGAAAATTTCTTGTCTACAAATTTCTTCTGTAAATTTGAAGTACAGTCCATGCTGCGAAACGATTGGTTGTGACGAATGGTGTGAAATGCAAGCGTTCCTTCATATGTTGCTAAGTCAAACTCTTCTTTGGATGGTTCCAGCTTACGAAAAAACTGTTTGACGGATTTCGTTTTTGTTTTTGCTGCCAAAGCTTCTTTGTGTTTAATTGTAAGAATGTGATCTGCTATAGCTGTTCGTCCTCCACTTCCAACTGAAAACGTTGCTCTACACATTGTACATTTTACTTTGGAAGAATTATTAGGATTCGGTTCAATAAATGGAAACTCGTTTTTCCAATCATCCAAATAATGACATTTTCTTTTTTTTGTTTATGTTGCCATATTGACATCTATTTTAAAGAAATAAAAATATTTTTCTAAATATCTATTACGATAACAAATTATGAGGTTTTCAAAATGTAGAATAATTAGAATTTATAAAAATTAATTAGTCGTAAGTGATAATAATAACAATTTCATAAAAAATGGTTTTATACTTTATTGGTTAGATATTTATAAAATGTTTACCTGATTATAAAATGTTTTAGTTATTTTTCTAAAATAAAACGGAAATGTAGTAATTGTTGTTGTTTTTAGTGGAAATTAGCTAATATTGGCAGTTTATGTAACCCAAGATATTAATTGTTTTAAAAGCAGCAACTAATATTCATGTTACGTCTTGTTTTAAACTTCTTTTCTTATATAAACATGTCTGGCGTACAGCCTAGTAAAAATGTAAACATAACTAGATATTAAAGTTATGTGTTCCAAAATTTCTGTAGTATAAGTTATAGTGTGTTCTTAAAAACTAGTTTACATTTAATTTTCAATGCTTACATTAATTTGTATGAAAATTTTTGAGAAAATAAAAATTACATATAACATATTTTTATCAAATATTTTACACAAATTTTTTCAATTTTATAACCGGGGACGCAAACCGACCGGGGACACGAGGTACTCGCCGGGGACAATCCCCGGAAATCGGGGACGTCTGGTCACCCTATATATACGCATCCAAAGTTAAGGAGGGACGCTCTAACTTTATTGTGTGCTTATTATTGTTTACTGTCTTATTGCAAGTGTTGTAATATTCAATTTTTTTTCTTCCAAAAAGAGATAAAAAAGTAAACACTTTGTCGTACAGACCCAAACCCTTCGGATAGAAATTTTCATTTAATAAAATAAAAATAAAAAAAATCATTATCAAATTTTTTACTACTACCACTTAATTTAGCGTTTTAAGTGGCAGTTTTTAACGTGCAGATCGTTAAATTTTTATGTTTACGCATCATTTATCTTTTCTGTATTTGCAATTTTCCAGATCAGAATATTTATTCAAAAATACCTTCCTTTTTACTGCCATCATTATATGTGGTGCTGCTATCTAGCGACATTTGATGGAATTATTTTTAGAGCTTAAAAGGAAGGAGCTCATTTTGCACTCCTCATTTTGCACCTGGAATATGATATCCTTTTCTTCGAACGAATTTTAGCACTCTTGTACCACATCAACTTAATGTAACATTTTAAACGTAATAGCAACAACAATAATAAATAATATACAAAAATAAAATATAAATTGATATCCATATTTTAATAGTTTAAAGTATACCACACAGTCCCTTTAATATCATCAAAATGTCTCCGTTTCTGGTTATAAAATTGCATTTATTTGTTGAACTTTTTAGAGATATGGCATTGATGCTTTAAGAACTCGAGAAATAATTGTTTGTGTTTTAAATTGTGTTGCAAAAAAAAAAGAAAAAAAAAAACTTTTTTACGTAATTTTAGTAGCTGAGTAGACCATCCAGTGGCTTGTCGAGGTGGGTGCATAGTGGATACCTTGGATGTTATTTCTGAAAGGAGGCGAAATAACTTCTAAATTATTAGAAAAAAACATTGGAATGATATACACTGGTTACTGCATTCGAATGATAGAGATGCCCGTCTTCCAGAATTTGACGAATCATCTATCCTTGTTACTTCATTGGAATTTTGGGTATAATTTTAATTTCGACATCGTCAAAATCCTTTCCACTCCTGTCACGTCAGCTCAATTTGATGCCCTGGAATCTTGCTTCATTCATATGATCCAATTCATTATGTACGGATGCAGATTACCTTTTAAATGACATAAGTGCCTCACCACATCTCCATTGCGGGTGGTAATGCATTCTATTCTGATATGTCTCTCTTGGTCACTGCTGTTTTTCTTGCTTTGTTTTTTCACCTCTTCTTAATTTCTTTCTTCGTCAACTTTACGTTTTCTTTTTCAAACCTCTTTAGTTTTCCTCACTCACGTGTTGCGAGTTTTGAGAATTGGTTCATATTTTCTTGCAATTGAAACGTGTCGTCTTTTACCTCCTTTATAAATTTTTGAAGTGAATGGAGTTTTTATATTATTGAGATAAACATAGCTGTCAAGGACAAAAGTATAATGTTACACATTTCAACAGTTATGAATTTTATTGCATATCTTTATATTTATGCTATCAAGGTTTGCACGGCCCTTAATACTAGAACGACTGAGGGAGCCAATTTGTCCCTTCTACGTTTTTTGTACCTCTGCAATTCAAAAAAATAACTTACTGAAAGTATTTCTAACTTTTTATAATTTGATCCAATTTAATAATTTTTGTGTGAACTTTATTAAAACGTACATATAGAACCTTGTACCTACGATGAGGGTAGGTATCCCTCCATAAACCCAGATAGGCTTGGATATAAGGCATTTTTTTATGAAGTTAGGGTATAAGATATGCTAGTTACATTAAAAAAAATACATATTTTAACATATATATGTAAGAGTTTAAATAACGTAAGTTTGTTAACGTTTAAAGGAATTAAAAAAATGAAAATAATCAGGTTATGAAATTAAAACAATTAATCAAAGTTAAGATTAAAAATAAGGTTAATCTTAAATGACTAATAAACAAATTAATGCTAAAACACTAACTAGAGACAATCGATTCACACCTTAAGTACATGATCTAATAAATACAATAAAAATTGTGTATGTGGCAAGGCAAACCCACAAGAATGCATAGCAAATTAAAATAAAATAATACTTAAATGAATAAGGTAAGGTAAAAAAATTATACATTAAATTGCGTCAAAAAAATAGGCCGAATAGTGGTGGTCCAGCATTGTTGAACACCGAATAACCCAATAGGTCCATTGGGTCAAAATTTAGAAATAAGTTAATAAACAAGAGCAATTAATATAATGATAAGGAGAGATGCATGTAAAAAAATATAAGGACATAGCATTCTTGTAAGTATGAATATTATCTGTACTAACTATTAAGTAAAGCATGGCTACTCACCCTACATGTCGAAGACACAACGATCTGTGGCGATTGATAAAACAATCATGGAAAAAAACACACACACACACACAGAGTCGAGTAAGTTCATTTCATTGGCAAATTCATTTATTTATTTCATATCACTACCAGAAACAGTAAAGATTCACCAACTAACAAACGTTGCATCAGCTCACATGCACATTTTATTACACACGATTTTGTCTCGTAAAAGTAGCACAAATCTTCAACATAAAAGATACCCTTTTCGCAAGGTATATCCGAGTTTTCACATTACTCCAAAACACACAAAAATCTTGTCAATAAATAATCATGGAATAAGAGAGAGAGTGTCCTTTTTTTCGTCATGCAACGCCTTAAGAAAACTCGGGGTCTCTCCTGAAAAGCCAATGAGGGAAAAAAGGGGTAGGACACCTTAAACAAAAACCAATGAAGAAAAAAGTGGGCTGTGCAAAATTCAACCCCTCAAGAAACCATTGGCCGATAGAAGAAGCAAGCAAGCACCGGACAGTATGGCCAACGCGCGATCACGACCCCCTTGTGTGAACGGGGACGCGAGGTCAAAAGGCTAAAGGTTAAAATTAACGAATACCGTCCGGTTCGCAATTAGAAGTACACATGCTGTGTGAGAAAAAAAGGGAAAATATCACGAGGTGAAGGGGACAAGACATAAAAAACTTATATATCTATTTCTTACGGTTGACCAGCGAATGCAGCTGCAACGAAAAAAGGGTCCAAAATCCTCCCACGCAGGTGTTAAGGAAGAGGGGATCCAAGATGGGTTCGGAGATTGTATCAAGTTACCCTTGGTAAAGGAAAAGCCTGGGGAAAATTTCTTAAGGCAGTGCATGACTGAAAAAAGTAAAAAAAAAATAGTAATAGACAATTATAAATAATTTATATATAAAGCATAAATAATAATCTATAAAAGTTAATAATTAAAAAATATACAATAATTAACATGTACATTGTAAATTGATAAATGATTTAAATATAAGCTGAACGTTAAGTGAAGTTAAGAGCAGTAATTCGTAAATAAATTAAGTGTTAAGATAATAAAAGTAAAGCAAATTAAGAAAACAAAATTAAAGCGAATTAAAAAAAAACAAAGTTAAAGCCAAAAGTGAAGCAAAAATTAAAAAAACAAAATTATATAAAGGAGAGAATAAACTTGTGATAATTAACATTATCACAATATATAATTATTATTTATAAAGAAGAGGAAACTCAATTATCGAAGAAACTAATATTTAAGTGTAATTAAGAAGTCAGCGTTCCGTTTAGTCAAATATTTTCGCGAATTATATCGATTAAAATACCATAGAACTTAGATGATCAAGTCTATAGTAGGTTTTTATTAAATTAATTATGATTATATTTTAAGATTTCAATCTCTAATTTATTTACTCGCAAATAAAAGCTTAAGGGAAGGGAACACGAATTTTTTTAAGAAAATTTTTTTTTTCTTACATTGGCACTACTTAAAAAAAAATTAACAATCGTTCTAACCCTGGTAAATGTATCAGAAAACTATAGCTCTGCAAAAATTTATTACGTCCGACAAAATATACTAATTTTTTTTAATGTAAAAATGATTTAAATATTAATAATTTAAACTTTCGTATTTTATTCTTTCTGAAATAATAAGCATAAGTTAAGCACTTTTCTTGATTAAAAAAGAAATCTCTTATTAAAATACTACTATTTAACTATTACTAAATATGAATTTTTATTGTCATTAGTAGTCAATTGATTAACTCCTTTGATTGGATGCCTGGGACAATTGCCCCTTTCCGAACTTCTTTAAAGTAAATGGAGGATGTATCTAGCGATAATATATTGAATTAAAATTTTTTTTTTTTAAAAAGTTTATTCGTTTTTTCTGTTACTTCATTCAATATCTATCCTTTTAGTATGAGTAAGTAAGACACACAAATTGCATTGAGAGTATATCAATTGGTCTCTTTTACATTTTTAATATTTTTTTCGAAATCAAAAATTACACTGTTTATTAATAAAAATACTTTAAACTTCAGTGGTATTAGTCCTGCTGTCAATTGATGAAAATTGATTGATGTCAAGTGATGAAAAATACTCAGAACACAATAAATCATTTGTCTAGAGAACAATATCAGATGCTTAAATAGGTATAAGTCAAACATTGTACTTTTTGTAAATAAAACCTATATATTTTCTAAACTATTATAGTTCTACCATTTAGCATTTGAACTTATTAGATTCAGCATTAAGAAGAAGTAATAAATAGAAACAATTCCAAGCCTGTCTGCATAGAATATTCTGTTTTTTCTCTAAATCCTCCATTTCCCCCCAAAAGTCAGAAGCATATACATCGAAAAGCAGGAGAGTTTTCAAACTTACAGGGTGTTATACTACCTTTAAGACTATCCTTTTTTTTAATTCCACGATGACTGCCTTTAATATATAATTTAAGAACCCTTCTAAAAAATAAAGTAAGAAAATATGGAGATTAACCGGTCGCCAAATTATTATTAAAGCGAAGAAAAACAAAAAACGCTTTTGAAATCTGTCAAATCACTAGTGAGGAAGTTGGGAGAAAAACATCAAAGCCAGTTTGATTACCTGATAAAAATTGTAGATGTTTCTAATAATCTCCTTTCAATTCTTCCTTTTTGCTAGGAAAATCAAATAGTTTTTGATGTTTTTAATCAAGCCTTCCTCACTAGCGGTTTGACAGATTTTGATAGCCCTTATGTTTGCTCCTTGCTTAAGTGTAGCGACCCTTTATGTGTCTACTTTTTTTAAACTTTATGATTGACAAGGATTCTAAAAATATTTCTTTCATGATCATCATTGCGGAATCACCCTGTATTTATCAATCTATCTATCTATAAGTACAAAAGTGTACAAATGATGTTAAGTGCTGGTTAAATAAATAAAAAATCAGATTCATTAATTGCTTATCACAATCATTATAAATATTTTTTAAACAAAAAGTTTCTTAAATAAAAATATGAAAGCTTATATTGTGTGTATCTCACTGATATTGTGAAAATGTCCTATTTTGCAGTGATCTAAGCACTCCCATGAAAAAGCGTTACTAAATATGTGCTTAAGCTATTTACTAGGTGGATATTTTCTTTTGGGAGTTACAATTTAACTTGTACAATTTTAAATTATTTAAACATTGTACTGGTTAAACTCCATTTGATTTTATTAGAGTAAGAATGAAGCATAATGAATAGCTCATAAGTAGATCTCTTAGTGCTGACAGGTAAAATAAAAAAAATAAATAAATAAAAATTAATATTCTGCATTTTGTTCCATCCTGTTCTTCGGTACTGATTTAAAACCCCACAGAAAAGGTTTGTCTATCGTTCTAACAATGCCCTCACGTCCTCCGACGAGTTTTAGAGGAATTTTCTTCTTTTTGTGCATCAGACTTAGTTTGAAGCACCCTCACCCCCTCACCGGCTTACTTTGATAACGTAATTTTGATTTTCGCTTAGTCTACTATCTACCAAGCATAAGATGAACTCCGGAAGGCTCGCTTTTGCAAAGAAGTTGGGGTGTTTTACATGAATGTCAACCAAGGAGTCCCAGCTCGCCTTAGTATTTAAAGGGGTAGCGAAGCAATAATTAAGATAAGCTTGAATTTTGCGTGAAATTAAAAACTTCGGTCCTGATTCCGATCTTTCAATCGGGCACATAGAGCCGCTTGTGCCACTAAAAATATGAAATTATAATATTTATGTAATTATAATTATTTATATTTATAAATAAATATAATTATAAATATTTATAAATAGCAAAAACCTATTAAAAGATATAAAAATTAGCAATTTTTTCCTGCATTGTTTCGTCAGGTTACTATTGTAAGTGAATGCAAAGAATTTTTTCGTCTTAAATATAAATAATTTGTAATGGTGGTTGTTACGTGGTAGTTCCATTTGCTGTCATGGTGGTAGTTACGTTTGAATAATTTAATAAATTAAATAAATAAATAGGAATTGATTTCGCACCATTTCTAACATTTTTAGTCGCTTGTGGCGTCCCTGACTGCACGATTATTAGATCTTTAAATAGTTTATATGCAGTAGTGGTCAAAATCATTGCAAAATAAATTTATTAAGATACAAAATTAAATGGCAAAGCATATCTTTACTATCGCTTTAAATATTTAAGAAAATTCTCTTGTAAAAATGGGAGAAGTGGGCAAGCATGGATTAGCTGAAACTAATCGCCAAGCGGAATCTCGCTTTTAGTTCTATGTAGTAGCCAACACAAAACATTATCTTCCCCTAAAAATAAATAGACCAGTCCGTTGCTAACGCGACTGCCACCAACAACTCGAGGGATTATCTCGTGATTACCAAAGAATAGCATTTAGCTTTATACGGTTAACTATCTGTAAATCTATCAATAGATTTTTTACACTCTATTGATAGTTATTAATGTAAAGCCAAATACAGATGGCTCTAGTGGCAAAAAAACCTAACTGTAATTTGAATTACTATTTCTGGTTTATTTTAAAAACAAAAACCTTGAGTTTACGCTATCGTTTACATGCCTAAGAAATGTATTCGTTGAATTCGGGATTATTCCTTTGTAGACAATTGAAAAAGTTTAGGTTGATATCATTTGTATATTAATATTATTATTTATATATCATTTATATATTGTTATATATAATATTATTATTAATATTATTATTAATATTATTGCTAATAATATTATTACTTATATATTATTATTTATAAATAATATTAGTATATATCACTTATATATTAATGTTATTATTCATATATCATTTATACATTATTATATTTAAAGATATACTTTTAAATTAAAACAAATAAATGACCAAAATGAACTGTAACTCTTAAAAGGAATAATCTCGATTTATTTCATTTATTGTGTATGGAATTATTAACCTTTTGCTTACGGGTGGTGCAACATATGGGGCACACTTGATGATACATCATAGCACACCGTAAGCAAAGGGTTAATTCGATTAATCTGCAACCCATTTAGACCTTGCGCGCTTTTAAAAAGACTGTTCCATATCTTTTTCAAAGGAGAAAAATGCCGTAGCAGAAGTTTTTAATACCTGAGAATTACTTAGCAAAAAAAGTTATTTCTGTGTGCATTTTAGGGTTGCAAATATTAATTATTTGTATCTAAGTCAACGGGTAGTGTTTTTTTTTAAAGCTAAAGTGGTTAGCAATTGAAAGAAATATTCATTGGTATAAATAATATCTACTATTGTTTAATTTTTACATATCAGTGGCTTTCATACATAGACCATTTTTGAATCCGGGAAGTAATAGTTTAAATATATAAAAAAAATAGGAAATTTTTTATGAGAATGTAACCACAACATCGATGGTGGGATACATCAGAATGTATGGGATGCACCAGAATGTATGGGATACACCAGAATGTATGGGATACACCAGAATGTATGGGATACATCAGAATGCATGATTTACCACCCATATTCAGCTCAACTGATTTGATATTATAAGGTGAAAATAAAAATAATTATTACAGCTTGTTGGTTTGCGGAAATTACTATTCCAAACTATTACCAGAAATTACTATTGCGGTGTTACTATTCCAGAGCATTTAATTTGTATGTCTTGTGTTTGTAAACATACTTTAAAAAATAAAATCAAAGTGTTTTCAAAGAAATATTTTTTTTATTTTGATGCGGTTACAAGCAAAAAATGTGCAGTATGACAAAGGTGAGAAGGCTGGAAAAAAGTAATAAATAACATATATACATTTCTCTCTGATGAAACATGAAACATTCTTTGCCTATTTTTAATACTCAATCGACCTGTACTTTTTTAATCTTGAATTATATTCTAAATGACAATTCTTTTTTGTTAATATTTAAGAAAAAAATACTTTAAATGATGCAGAAATGATAAAAGGTCAGGTTTCTGTAAGATATCAGGATGATTCAAATTTTTGTTTATATCAACCAATCGTTATGAATAATTTGATTTATTGTAGGTAATATTTAAAATTAAATTAATTCACTTCTTTTGTAAAGACTTTTTCCATAAAAATGCTTTATTAAATCCTTCAGTTGAGCCGCTTTTATTTGATTAATAATGCTGAACATTGTTTTGCAATAATGCTTTACAAAGATGTATTATTCTGATTTAATTGACGCTTTACATAGATATATTATTCTGATTTAATTAATGCTTTATTTAAAAATATCATTCTGATTTTTCTAACACTTTACATAGGCATATCATTCTAACTTTGCTGACGCTATACATAAATATATTAATTCATATACATAAATATGTTAATATAATTTTTTCTGAAACTTTTTATTGATACCTAAATATATTTTCACGATTTTGCCGATCCTTATATAGATATATTGGTATACTAAATTTGCTAATGCTTTACATAGATATTAATATTATTTTGATTTTGTGAGTTCTGTACATAGATAAGCCATTAATCTGAATTTGCTAACGCTTTACATAGATGTATTATTCTGGTTTTGTATGCGCTTAACACATGGTTATATTATTACGATTTTGATGACGCTTTACGTAGATACATAGTTATTCTGTTTTTTACAAACGCTTTGCGTATATATTATTATGATTTGCTGACACTTTACCTAGATATATCATTATTTGAACTTTTCTAACACTTTACATATTATTCTGATTTTTATGATGCTTTACATATTATTACATATATTATTTGCAGCCTTACATATATTAAGGCACTTTGCTTTAATTATTCGAATTTTTTTAACACTCTAAATATTATATTGATTTTTGTGACGCTTTACATAAGTATATTATTCTCATGAATTTGTCGGATTCTATGTCAAACCAACAATGCCAACAAATATGTGAACTTTATGAACTTTAACAGATCTTGAACTTTAACAGATCTTGAACTTTAACAGATCCTTCTTGAACTTTAACAGATCTCCAAAACTTTACCATAAAAGATAACAATTAACTAATTATTCACATAAACTTTATTAACATTTTTACAGACATCTCTTTCTCTTGTACTGAATTTTGAATTTCGAATGCGCAGACGAGAGCTGAAAGAGCAAAAAAAACCTAAGACCCCAGCCAGATGAAAGGAGTTAAACAACATCTTTCTCGCTAATTGGTTGACTTCGTTTAAAATCTATTAACAGCAGAAAGTTATGTAAAAAAAAAATATAATATCACTGCAACCCAAGCTCAGAGTTCGGCGCGAACATGTACAAGAGTTTACGAACGACTTTTGTTCTTCTTGGAGATCTTGAGCAGTCCGTTTCACACAATTTATGATTTTATGCCATATTAGAAACATTTCTAGAACTCCTTGATCGTTCAAATAGAGACGGATCTGTGTAGATGGGTTCACTTGGGTCATCGAGTTTCGGTCCGGGATATTGGCTGTGGACGTAAAGATTTGCAAGACCAGGTGGTGGACCACTCATACCGGCTGCTTTAACCTGGAAAAGAAATGAAATTATTAAAACTAAAGCACTTCAATATAAGACTATAATTATTCAATGAGAATTAATACAAAGTTGCTTATTGTAACGGCTATAATTTTTTTGGAGACTATGGAACCCTAAATGATCAGACTAGTTTTGGTGGAACCCCGACAACAAAAATCAAAAAGCATTTAACAGTTGTAAAGCACGATATAAAGCTATAATTTTTCGATGAGAATAAGTATATCAACGTTGTTTATTGCAGCTCTTTTCAATTTTTTTTTGGTGGTTGTGAATACAATAACGAGAAAAGAACTACTAATTATTTTGGATTACTTAATGCGAAGATTGAAATAATTTCATTGTTTCATCCCTAATAGTCTTAAAATTTAGGTTTTATGTAAACATTTAAATTAAACGGTATGGAGTAACATCTGAATTTTTTGGTGTAAGCAAATGCTGACAATGAATAAAATAAGCTGAATTATGGTTTTCAAAAAAGAGCTGTTATAAACCCTGATAATTTAATCAAGAAGTTCCCTTGTAAATTATGAGAGGCTGTTGAGTTAAATATTGATGGATGTAAGTCCATAATTGGGTCATCTTTTCTAAACCGGTTATAAAATAAGTTAAAGACGTTGAAAATGCTTGCCAGTGAAGCATAATTCTTAATTCTTGAATTTGGTTATTTTATTTTGAATTGAAAATCTCGATGAAAATAAATGGAATTTTTTAAAACTACTTATCCTTTTTATGATTTATTCTTTATACTACACTTATTAAAAATTTTAAAAAAAGTTTGCTGTTTTTTTTCATTAGCATTTTACTTAAATAATATATGCAGTGTTAAATAAATTATGGATAGGATATAAATATAGTTATGACTGGCTAAAACAAAAAGTGTCGATTTACCGGATCCCTGTAGTCTTTCTATGGAACATCTTTTAAAAATTGCTGTTTTACTAAAAAAAATACTGAAATTACTGAATTTAAGGATAATATACTTACTGCTAATTTTGATTTTTTGTAGAAAAACATGGCGGCAGCAGCAACAGCAACTATTGCGCAAACCAAAACAATTGCTAAGATCACTAAGGTGTAATATCCAGCTTGTGCAACGCAAACTGTGCTTGTTCTTGTAACTGTAATAAAACAAATAGGTATGAGAATAATAAGGTAACTTACGTTAAAAGTTTTTTAAACTTATGAAAAGAATAATTCTAAAAATTTTAATTTAAAACCTAATTTTTTGTAAGATGTATAATTTTGTGCATTATGAGGCTGTAGCATACAATATTCAATTTATGTATGTTGTAGATTCTTTAAATTGAATTGTTAAAGCCGATTGACAACATTGATTGTCTTTTGTAGTGTTACAAAGATGATGTATTTCGAGCGATTAAAGTTAATTAAAAAATTTTCACGAAATTTAAATTTTGTTTCATGAAGGTTAAAGGTGGATCATTTTAAGTAAAATTATTTACAAATAACATTTGAAAAAGTCACAAGAAGTTAGCAAATTTATAAAAATCTGCCTCCTTGAAAGCATTAAGCTGTACTCTAAGATGTGATTTATGAATTCATAACCAACGTTTTTTTCTCAGCCTAAACAATGAGTATCTTTGTAATAATAAAAATGATTTGTGATCAATGATCTCCGATAATTTGAGCCAGTACGTCAGTTCTATATTTATAAAGTTTACCAATTAGCCGTGACCAAATAAACAAATAAACTCAAAAGTTATTGCGATTGGAAGGTCCCGAACAGATTCATTTCAGGAACTTATCCACAGTTCTGATTCATATGATATAAAAATGATCAATTCATTGAATAAAACCGAGTACTTGCATTATTCATTGAAACTATTTAAAAAATTAACGCTCAAACAATTTAAGCAATTTTGGATATTCATCAAAGTAAAATTATTAATTAATGAAGAGTTATGAATAAATTTGAATTGTAGAGTATGAAAGTATCAAGTGATATTCTTTAAAGAAAAAAAGACTAAAGTCTTGGGTTTAAAAACATATTGTGTTATAATTGTAAGTCAAGAACTCAATTTTTTTTCTTTTCTATCATTATATAAGACTGGTTTTAATTAGAAATGTGTAAAAATGTGTAAAAACATCAGCTATAGAAAATACCAGCTGTTGTGGTATTTTCTATAGCTGATGTACCTACATTCACCCAAAAATCACTTAGACATTGTTCAAATCTGTTAACCAATTTTTTTACAATAAAACGATCCAACTAAATTGAACTTGTGGATGCAAGATCGTTTAATTTTAATTTTTTTCTTATCTAAATTTTTAGATAATATATTAAGTAAGCAATACTTACTTGCTGCAGCTTCTGATGGCATATCTGATCTAGAAAGGTATACTTTTAGCAGATCGTGGACAACTTCTGCTTCGTCAGTTCCATTTCCTACTGGTATGTCCATTTGATTGTCATCCGCAAACAGAGCAGCTGTTTCGTTCGGTGCATAACGTTTCTTCCTACCCCAAGATGGGAAAGATCCTGGACGACCTCGATCACTACATATTACCTAAACAAGACACAATGATAAGACTTTTCTTAGACATTGAACTAAATATGGTGGTTCAGCTAAATGAGCTAATTTCTAGACAGAAAGCACAATATCTAAGTAAATTGTGCAATTTGAACACTTACAGCGTTTTGCTTCAGCTGCTAAATTAATTAGGTTTTTTTTTTACATGACGTTATTATGTGTAATACATTATATACGTTAATTGTTTTCTCAAATAAACTCCCAAAAGGGTTTAGATTAGCTATTAATGCTATTTTACTAATTCAGTTTAATTCTAATACTAAATATAATTGCAAAGAAAATTTTGTTTCGGTCACCTTATGACGGGTTTAAAATGTTCAGTTACCCTCCTAGGCAAATTTGACTCTTTTAAGCGGCCACCATACAAGTTATGCAGGTAGTTTTCAATCTAGGTTTTTCTCTCTATTATTATATGGGATAAATAATTCAATTTTCGTAAAAGTGGTAAGCTTACACGAGGATCAACTTGAGAGGTTTCACTGTACATGGTAATTAAACTTACCAGCAAAGCGTAATTTCACTATTTTATTTTCTTATCTAGTTCAATAAAATTATTATTGCTTACTTGGTTTAAGGAATAATTAATTAGGATTGTTACACAATACCTAAGCGCAAACTTAAAATGTGTCGATAAATTTTTCTCGTAATACATTAAAATAAAAGTGTATTTTCAACAAAATGAACAAATAACTCGGATGACTACGTAAAACCTAGGCACATGAGCAAAACGCAATGATAGTCTGATATTGGAGTAAAAATGTCAACAAGACTGAGCAAGATGGAATCATAACTAGAATCACAACGTAAGACCTACTGAAGGATTAAGATACCTTCCTTAGATATTGAATTTAAAAATGTCAGAGCCTATGAGCGAAATGAATTAATAACTATGATCACTTTCAAAAAATATAGACATAAGGTTAAAGACACAATGATAAACACTTTTTAGACATTGAAATAAAAATTTCTATTGAAAAAATTAAATAAATAATTCTACTCACTACTTAACTTTTTAATAAAAGGTAAGATTATTAATTAAACTTTTGATGAAGATTACAAACAAAAATATTTACGCTTGCTCATTGTTAGCGTATAAAGAGAAGTCGTAATTCATAATTAACAGCATTAATGTCCTCATATAGCAGTACACAATTTGTAGTATTAATAGCAATTAATTCTTCTAAAATAAACATTTAATGGTTAACTTAGAGGTTAACATTAAAAGTTAACTTAGACGCACGAATAAGGCGAAACCATTGATTTTTCTGAGTGTTTGATGATAAACGCTGTTGTCTATTTAACAAAATAAGCACTTAACTTTTGAAATTCATTAAAGAGTGAATAAATTTATTAATTTAAGTATCGAACACACTAAATACATTTCTCAAGCTTATTTTTAAAATTTTTATTGAATTATGTGAACTAGTAGTTAATTTATTTATAGTGCAAATGTTTGGAATTAATAATTAAAATATTATAAATTTTGTGATTAGAAACCATCAACTTTGTTGATGTTTGTTATACGAATGAATGAATGAAGTAATTTGTCACAGAAAAATTAAAATTAGTTTGATTTAAGCCTAAGTAGCATCTTTAAGCCTATTACGCAATGGTAAACAAAGATAAAAAATATCAATATTATTAACGCCACGTAAAAGAGAACATGAAGTTAACATTCTTAAATAAACATTCTTTTTAAAAGAAAAATTAAATATTTGAAAAAAGAAATTACTTGTATAAAACATATTAAATAGAAAAATCCAATACATTTAAAATATTTTAATGAAAGAATAAAATGGAATTTTAATTTTATTATTTGCTTACTGGTTCACAAGGTCCTCTGCATGTTCTGACTGTAGCCTGGAAGACCAACAAATTAGAATCCGGTATTTTAAATGCATAGAAATCTGCTTGAAGAGCGCCATCTGGTGTTTTTTGCAATTCTGGGAATACATACAAGTCTACCGGGCATCTGAAGAAGATAAAAGTAATATTAGGATCATGCAATAGATATAAAGTTTTTCAATTTCTTGGACTTCAGTGAAGTTGAGAAATAGTACAGTTTCAGAGAGAATTTCAGATGCAAAAACTATAAAGCCAAGGAGTCGGGCCAAAGAGCACCCAATTTCAAAAAATGAAATTAATTGTATACTGATCATGAAATCTAAGATTTTATATACATAATTTTTGAAGTTTGTAACAAACATTGCAATAGATAGCCAATAGTATAAGTAAAAATTGCTAATTGATAACGTTGTAAGATGTACAGAGTTCTAAAAGAGAGATTCTATAATGTGACAATAGCGAACAGTACTGTCATATGGAAACTTTGGTTTGTTATCAGTTAGAAACTTTCCTTCAGGTTGCAGCTCCGTATAGCGCCATCCTTTGACAACATTTATAACTAATTTACAAAATTATATACTAATAGATTTTATTACCAAATTACATATTATTTTATCTCAAATTATTTGAGAACTATTTAGTTTTACTCTTTGATTTGAAACTCTGAATTATTGTGTCTACCTTACTTCTTCCATTTTCAGTTTCTAAATTTGATTTTGGTTTAGTTTCAGTTTTTCTAAGTGAACGTTTCTAAGTTTCATTTTGGAGTAATCAGTAGCTTTTTGGATCTGACTCAATATGTATCAGGGAATTCTTAATAAAAATATCGAACCATTTGTGTTATACAATGAAAACAATTTACCCTCTATTATCTATAAGATGAACTTGTCTTCCTGAGTATGGATCTTTGGCTATTACATTCGTCGCGAAAATATCACTAAAATATTCATAATGATCTGAAATAATGAAAAAGCAAAAATTAGCAAAAATTATATCTAAAGTAACAAGCTATTTTTTTAAAAATATTTATGACAGAAAAAAAATCATGACAATATCTTACAGTGACCACGGGCTTCTAATCTGAAGGTCAAGAGATCGCCAACTGCGATGGTATTTGTTGGTGCTCCTCTGTACAATACTCGCAAAACAATATTTGATGTTAGCATATTCTGGGCAGGCAGATGCTCGATTTGAGTAGGATATCGGCTGAAAAGAATTTTATTTTTTAAATAAATTATACTTCTATAGTTTATAGATTTGAAATACATTAGGACATAGATGTGGTATGAATAGACAAAAGTCTTTACCCATCGGTTCTTGTGTCCATGTAGCTGGATGTGACCACTGTTTCTCCTGGTCCTGACATATAGCATGTAAGATTATATTTCTTGTCCCGGGATGTTTGCACGTTATCATTAAATTGAACCACAACGATATTTGTCATGACGTCACCATACTGAAAAGTTCAACTTTATTATTTCAGACGCTTTCGATTCATAAGAGTAAACGATTATTTTATTTATTAATTAATTTAATTAATTTATACGAATATAAATATAATTACTGAAAAGAAACAAGTATAAGGCATACATTATTAGCATTTTTTAAATCGAATGTTTCTTGTTTTGATTCTAAGTTGATCCATATCATACTATTTTGAACCATAATATTTTGAAATTTGCTATAGTTTCAACATGCAATCAAGTCGAAAAATTTTGTTGAGTAACTTTTACAATATGCTTAAATTCTACAGGTTGCCATAATCTTGTACCAAGTTGCATCCTTTTGAGGCTTAACGTGCATGAACATGCTTATCATTGCATGAACACGTTAAAATTTTTTATACAGTTCATTATATTATGTACAGTAAACTTTATTATCGTGCGAAAATCCTGCAACCTTTGTAAGATGTCAAATTGGATGATGCATTCAAATTGGATGATGCATTCAAATTGGATGATGTATTCAAATTGAATGATGCAAGTTAATTCTTATTGCACTTCAATGTCTGGTATTATTCAACTTGAAATGAAGCACTATCTTATGGGATTTTCCTTAACTCCGTATTGGGATTTTCATCAAGCTTTACGATTATATTGATTAAAGTACTGTTCTAAAAGTTGGGAATCATTTTCTAAATAATTTTTCTGAAAGTGTAGACTGTATGGTTTCAAAACTTCATATTCTAATTCTGAAAATCGAAACGCTATTAAATGCCATTTCTGTAAAAGCAATATTGATATCGATCTAAGCTAAAATTTTGCTTGTAATTTTATTTTCCTTTCTGATCTGGATCTTTGGTATTTGAAGATGTAAGTTGTAAGATTCATAAAATTAAATCTAATTTTAAAATTATAATAAAATTTCTTGAATGCTCATAATCCTTTTTCTAAATAAAAATTAGAAAGAAAAATAAGCTGTTTTATGTGAAAATTGAAAGGAGAAAGAACTCTAAAAACTGCCGGAAAACGGAAATGTTTTGATTCATTTGTCTGAACAATGACATCCATTGAAAAGTTCACCGCTTTACCTTGTAACTTTCCGGCTGCTGCCACCGCCTGAAATGTAATACAAACGGAAATTCGTCACAAAGTGAGATGTCAAGAGTTCAGGGGCTCTATAATTCAAGCATCTCATTTACTTCGCTCATCATAATAATATCTACATGATCTCACATTCAAGCGAAAGGATGAGCTGAAAAAAAGCGCCAATGTTCGTGTTTTGACCTCGATGTCCGCCATTTTATTTTCTCCATATTTGGGTATAGCATGCAAAAAGATCGATTTCACTTTGTACAAAACTGTTTGATATTAAGCAAGCGGTGTGTCATAAAGTATTGTTAAAAAGTGTGACACTTAAATGATTGAAATATTTAAAAATATATCTAGTTCATCTTTTGTTGATGATCATGTTTTTAAAATTAAAATTTCTCAAGGGCACCTATTGAAATGCAAATGGTACATTGGATGGTTTTATTATCTGTTTTATCAAATTTAACGGAAGTATCGCATGGTTTTGTGAAAAAGTGGGACAGTTAGGACTCGAAATACTTTTTGAATATTTAGTACACTTCATGTTAAGAATCTTTACTTTAAGATTGGAATATTTTCAAGGGCGTCTATTGAAATGCAAATGCTTCTTCTCATGTTTTTATCAACTGATCTAAGTGATATGACGCACAGTGTTGTTGAAAAATGAGACCGTTTTAAATGTTTGAAAAACAATTTTGAATGTTTAATGCTTCATGTTATTTACCTTGACTTTAAGAATCGATAGCATTAAAAGGTACGTAATGAATGCAAATGGTTTGTCTGATTGTTTTGCCAGATTAAAGATTTGCATCATATTCTATTGTTAGAAATTTGGACTTAAATGCTTGAAGCAATTTTGTTCAAATTTATTGTCCATATTATAATAATAGTCTCGGTTTTAAGCGCATATCTTCAACGGCTGCTTGTTGAAAGTATTGAACTCTATTGTTATTGAAACTCTAATAAGGAGTGAGATGGTTTCAACTATTTTCGGAACTATATTTCGATAAAATGTTCCAATTTGGCAATATATTTGCTATTGCCAGCTTAGATAGGGCAATCTAAAGTGAAGTGCGATTCTTTAGTTTTTGCTGTTTAAAGAACAGTGGCAGCTAAAAAAAGGTTAACGTTCAGAAGCAAATAGTTTTACATATTTCGTTTCTCGCTAGCTACTGCTTTCGTGGCTCGCTAACTATTGCTAGCGTAGATAGCGAAATCTAAAGTGAAGTGCAATTCTTTATTTTTTGTTGTTTAAAGAACAGCGGCTGCTAAAAAATGGTTAACGCTCAGAAGCAAATAGTTTTACTTATTTCGTGGTCCGTAAAATTTTTGGAATAACGTTACCTGACTATGCACTGCCTCAGAAAAGGCTTAACAAAAAATGAGAGTGGCCGTGTTATAAAGTATTATTAAAAAGCGTGACACTTAAATCGTTAAAATGTCATTTTAAAGTGCAATTTATGTTGAATTATAACAATGTTGTAGTTAGAAATTTGTCAAAGACACATATTAAAATGCAAATACTTAAGTCAATGGTTTTATCTGGAAATCAAAAATTATTCACTCAATATATTTGTAAGCTTTTAAAAAAAATGGTGTACAAGTATTCAAATTAATAAGCCATGAAATAAATAAGATTTGGTGTAGCTAAAATGAAATTACGAAGTTAGGATAAAATAATTAAAGATAATTACGAGTTATTCGAAAATTAAATATTAAAAAAATTATAACAGTGAATAATTATAACAAAAATTGTAGCGATGCAATGAGCATTTATAATAAAATGTTAAAATTTGTTGGAATTGAAAGAAGTTCATGTGTTTAATGTGTTAATTAAAAGAAGTTTTGAGTAAGATGTTTAATCATTGTTTTAGCTAACCAACAGATCTTTTAAATTTTTTCTTTCTCCTAATTTAAAAAGTTTGTAGCGCACTTTTACATTTACGTTAAATTGAAATTATTTGCACAAAATAAAATTTCTTTTTAATTTCTGAAAATTATGAAGAAAATTGCCAATCGTCACATCTTTGTACTTAAAAATTAAACCTTTTAAGTAAGAGCTTTTTTGTAATTTTTTTATTGTTTGCACTTTGACCAAATAGCGGCAAGAGAAATTCCAAAAACATTTATGAATGATAACTTAAATTTGAAGTAACAATTTCGAATTTAAAAATTAAAACAGAAAATAACTAGTTTCAATGTAAGTGAAGCTATAGACAAATAAAGTTTGTAGAGATAACTCTCTTGTGTTAATAAAAGTATTATTTTCTCTTATTTGAAACAATTTTTAAAGCTTAAAAAATTACAAACGTTTAAAATGGTACAGACGAATTTTAAATATTTTTTTTAAATTATTTAAAAACTGTATTTTCAAAGTATTACTTTTACTTCATGCTTATGAAAAAAAGCTGCTGTTAATAATGAATTTCTTCCATTCAAAAACTTTGGACATGAGAAATTATTTTTGTATATTTTTAGTTCTGAATGCTGGGAAAGTTTTCCTACAAAAATATCATACTTTCCGCATGTTTTAGACCTTGTTATAACCCTAACAAACACCTCGTTTTCATCATTTTTACAATTAACCTTTGTTTTTTTCACGCTTTGATTACTAATTGCTCATAACCTCTCATCGGTATCGTGCAACAACAACAACAATTCGTCGACATCTAGTTAAAAACGTGAACTTCCGCATGCAGGAAACTTTCAGTTTTAGCATTGGCATTCTCTTTTGTCTCTTCCACTTTGGCCTCTGCGCTTCCGCGTTTTCACGGTTTCCCCAGCGAAAACCCTTCATGTGGATCTAAATACCTATTCTGCAAACTTTTATCGAATAAGAAAGATTTTATATGAATGGTTATAAGCTTTGTAAATAAGAATAGAAATGTTTTGATGATAAATGGATTTTATACCATATCGTAAAATATCGTTTGCAGTGAAATCAAACGATTATGTTTAGTTTTATTTAGTTTGAGGGCATAGACCGATTGGAGAAAGTGAGTTTAAAGCTAATCGACTTAAAAAAAAGAAGTTTCGAAAATAATCTTTTAATACCATTTAGCCAAAAGAGGGAAATACTATTGAGATTTTAAAGTAATGAGAAATTGTTATTTATTTATTTATTTCAATAGTAGATAGTTAATGAAATAATAACGATGATGAATTTAATGAACAAATTTACATCTTGGCAAGAATGCACTTGGAAATTTTTTTATAAAATCATACTAGAAAAAAAAGAAACCAGAAGAGCCTTATTGATTAAATATGTTCATAATTTATTTGATCAGATAAAGAATAAAAAAAGTTGAGATTAAATAAATCGTTGATTAAATAAATCGTCAAAAGTAACGAAGTCAAATGATTAGCAAACACCAAAAATTGCGCTTAAGTCGTTTAAACGCTTGTAAGTTTTTTAGCAAAAAATGCCTTAATCAATTTAAAAAGCTTATTAGTTGAATCGAACTCTTTTCCCTCTAAGGTAATAGGCTTCTAAATTATTTGAGCTGAATATCTCATATGGACTTGATCACTTTTGGCAGCATACCCACGAAATAAGTGTCTACATTTTCTTTATTTTTATAATTATATAACTCCAGGTTAAAGTCATTTATGACTAAAATAATGTCAGTCATTTAATTTCCGTCAATCCATTACGAAGATGTAATGTTTTGTAGTGATGTAAAAAGTTCGTGGCAAGGTATTTATGCTTAAATGAATTTTATACTTTCTAGTGTTTGCTACCAATTTAATTTTAAAATGTTCCAGTTTTATAATTTCAAATCAAAATTATACTATTTCTAATATTATTGCGTTATGATAAACACAAAAGTCTAGACTGTCCAACATAAATTTCAAGAATTTCTAAAGCAAATTTCAGTTGTGTTACTAGTATTCATTTTTTGAAAAAGTTAATTTGAACTTTCTGCCTTAAGTATATCCCCTGAAATTTACAAATTTAAATAATTATTTAATAAATGTATAACTGTTAAAAGCGTAATTGGAAAGTTTCTTCTACCTGTTGAGTTCCACATCGTGGAAATCCATTCCCTCTCGAGATTCTTAAAACACTGGTTGTTCCTCCATTGCCATCATAGAAACAAGAATCATAGAATCCATAAGTGTAGATTCTGCCATAGAAACCCTCTGGTGTTTTCATTGTAAATTCTATTCCATCAGGGCTGCACGATTGACTCACTAGTAGAATAAATAAAACAGAATATGCAGTTTTAATAATATATTTCAAAATACACTCAGCGGTCATTCCATCGTGACCACTTTTCTCAAAATTTTATAAGATATTTCTATCGTCGTTTGTGGCACATTCATAACATTTTCTAATAGTATGAGACTGAAAGGGTTTGAAGATGGGTGACTCTTTCAATTTTGCCTCGCAAATGCTTAACTGGATTGAGTTCTGGAGATTGTAGAATCACCTCAACAAAGTGAAGTTTTCCTTATTCTCCAATACCGATTCTTTGCAATACCAGCAGTATGGCGAGGCGCATAATCCTGATGAAAATCTTGCCAATGGGCGAAATTATTTGATGCACTTGATCAATAACGATTTTTAGGTATAATGTCTTTTTCATACCATCATGTGCAGGAAATAATGGTTCGGAAGCATGTCATCAAGACACTAAACCTTAGAGGTAACACCTCAATAAAATAGGCTACTTGCGAAAAAACTGTTGGATGGGCATAGTAAAGTTTCCGTTTGGTGTACTGTACATAACATGTTTAGTTTATTTACGTGTTTCAAATTAGTAGGGACTTACCGTCAATACAGTTTGGTGTACTTGCACCTGGGATACCATTTGCTGCTTGGGCGTCTCGTTCGTAAAAGTCAAACTGTGAGTCTTGTTCAAAATGTCCGGGATTATTTAGTTGAAGATGTCTTGTATCTTGATCACTCAGTTCGCAATTATCGGGTATTACATTCCTGAAAGAGATATTTTTTGTGTCCTTATTTTCTAGTTAGAACACCTAAAAGTCAGTTTCATGTGTTTCTTTCTTTCAAAATTTTGCTTTTAGAAATGAAAAATTAAAGTATGATCGTAAGAGCGACGTTTTAAATAATACATATAAGTTTGTAAGTAAGATAATTAAATTTTTCCATTATTTGTTTACTTACATAATTATAAACAAATATAGGTTTGAATGTAAATTGTTTTAAAATTAGATTAACGGCATTTTGGTTCCTTCTTTTAGTGAATCTCATTTTAATAGTTACCTATATATTATCAACTTGGTTTTCTTAAACTTTTTTGATTAAAAAAACGCTTATCTCTACAATTCTGATTGGGACATTTTAGTGCTGAAGTATAATAAACATAATCTTTTATAAATACTAAAATGATTGATGAGAAATTATCTTTTAAAGATTAATAAAATGCACATAAATAGTTCAGCCTTTACCCTTGTTAAGTTTTGTTCCTAGCATGCATATTTTGTTAAGTTTAAATTTTGCATTTCTTATTTTGAGAAGGGAATTGCAAACAAACAGACTTTGCTTACCTAAAGTTGAAAGATAAGCATATAAATTCCCTTTCCTCTAAGCAAGCCTTTTCACAATCCTCTTCTCTTTCAGTTCTTACAACACGTCTGACATAAAAACTCCTGAGCCTGGTTCCAAACCCAACTCGCCTAAATAGTCCACCACCCTGCATACCAGGTTTGCACAATTCATAGTTGTTATTTGGGAAAGGCTGCTGAGGCATTCCTCCAGGTGGAAAAACGCCATTGCCATGGAAAGGATTGGTTGCTGGATAACCAGGGTAATTTCCTGGGTAACCACCGTGGACTGAATGTGGATTCTGAGGGGGAGCTGCAGGAGGATAACCTCCAGCCTGACTCCAACTGTGGGCATTTCCAGATCCCCATGGTTGAGCCGCTGGTGGTAAGGCTGGTGGGTAAGCTGGGTAGTTAACTTGACCACCACCACCATGTTGAGGATTCGGTCCCCATGTTCCTCCACCTCCTGCACTGTTCCATGGACCAGATGGCCAAGATTGAGAAATTGATGTACTTCCACCGGGTCCACCAACTACCGGTCCTCCTAAGCCCCATCTTGATGGGCCATATCCTCCACTGCTGCCTCCTGTAGGTCCGTATCCAGGTCTATGGATGAAACTGTGACCTCTGTTTCCGTTACCTCTGACTGTTTGAAGAAATTGATTTATTATAGTCAATTTATAAATATTGTATAAATAAATTCAGCGCTTACAATAGCTTTGAATTATATGCATTAATATCAGTAACTTTGTTTTGCACTTAAAAAGTTTTAAAGTTCAGTTTAACTTAGAGTGAATATTTGCCCGACCTTCACCAAATATAAAGCAAGCTCACACCTCCACCATTTTTATGTTATAAAATAAAATGTTATTCATGTGCACCAATAACCTATAAGCCTTAAGTGAATGCTTTTATAAGACTTGCGTTAAATTATGCAATTTGATTAGTGTTAAGAAGCTCTGCAGCTTTGTCTGTTCAAGCTAATATGATTTGATTTTGTAATGACGCGTAATATTAAAATGAATTTGCATTTCATATAATATTGTATTTTATCTTAATGTTTATTTTCAGCGTTAGTATATATTTTAATTGTAATTTATAGTTTAACTCATTTAGTTTGAACAGACAAAAGCTTGTTGCCACCACCGACTTTCTTCCACCCTGTTCTTGATACTTACTCCACTTGAACTCGTAGTAATCGTAAGACTCATCATCTACTAAATTTGGCTTGCCAGTTCCACTAGATTGGCTGCTAAATCGACAAGATTGAAAGCGGGAACTGTATTCTACAGATTGGCAGTCACGGTTGTAGCGTCTCATGCATTCATCAAGGCACTCTTGGAAGGAATAAACTTTAACTTCAACTTGGTGGGCAACATCCAATCTTTTTCTTCGGAAGCATTCTACTGTAGCATTGTTGATGTATGCGTCTAGCGAAAGAAGGTAGAGAATTGTCGGTTGGCAACGAATTAACCAATCAGTCTAATGAGTTATTTCATTCTTGAGGTTAAAATTTCCCTAGTCAGAAGGCTGCTTAAAACGTTGTAAAAATTTGTTTGTAAAGTTGTATTAGCTGAATAAATTTCTTGCAAAGAATACGTCATATTGCTTTGAAAAATTATGGAAAAATCTGATATCAATCTTTCAATATATCTACATTTTATTACAAGTTAGTTCTTTCGCTTACATTATCTAAGAGTGTGTGTAATTTTGATTAAATTAGTTTCAAAACCAAGTCTATCGAGATCAGTCGATAATAATCATTTTCAAGTATTTTGATTTGTTTAAACAATAAGGAAATTATTGCAGATCTACCAGCTATAGATATAGAATATCGTGTCTTTCATTTTTAAAGATGACAGTAAAGCATCGAAAACATAATAAACAACAGTTCAATGTTTTGCCAAAGGAACTGCGCGATTAAGGAAATCATTAGATACTTTTTTTTTAAAATAAATATAAATTGCATATACTGTTTAATTTCATACTTTTATAACCAGCAAAGCATTTTAAACAGCCTTTTGTTTAAGGAAATTTAGTTTCGAGGAAAAATCGGTTAAAGGTTTAGCGAAAGTTAGAGAAATGCTATTCATTTTAAAGATATATTTTACTGAAAATTTTAATAGCAATGTTTTGAGTCGATAGTTTAGCCAAATAAATGAAATTCTTTAAAATAATTAACCAATTACATATAGTTGTTTTTATCATAATTCAATAAGTTAAAAGTCGATAAAGGGAAAATATAATTCAAAGTTGTTGGTTTGCATTACGGTTAAATTTTTTAATTCAAATATGTATTGTATTTAAATCCAATTAAAGCTAAACTTGATTTTCATATATAGTGTTTCACCGCAATTTTGAGGAACATTACTATTTATTAATTTCTTATTTTATTTCTTAGCTTTATCTAATACTAATAATGAATGAATTTGAATGTATAAAAGAAATTTTTCTCTGAAATTCAAATTGTTTGAAAATATATCAAAAGCTACAGTTAAAGCATTTTTTTTATTTTGCTATAGTATATTTAACTATGAAAATATTTAATATAGAAAATAAATGAAGATAATTTTTTTTATTTACCACATTTAGCGTATGTGATGCTACAACTACATTGAGTAAAAAACATGACTAATTGAAAGAAAGAAATAATTTATGCTCATGTTACATAATAATTTTTTTAAAATACATTTTTGAATTTGATTTATTTCAAGATACTTTTTTTAATAGTTTATATTGGAAAAAAATAAATTATCAAATCATTAATAGACATGGAACTAGATAAAGTAATTAATTAAAATTATAGATCAAGCAATGCGTTTTAAAAATAAATACTCAGATCATTAAAAAAAAACGTGTAGATATGTATAATACATAAAAGTCGAAGTTTTTTTTAGCTGAGTTTTGATGTTTCAGAACGGTTTGCTTTATAAGTTTTCTTTGAAATTATTCCTATTGTTTCCTATTTGTTAAAGTAAATATAAATACAACAAAAAGTAAAATAAAATAAACATGAACATGGTTTATTCGGATACATTAAAATAAATATACTTGAATTCTATTGATGAAGGTCGAAGCAAACAATCCCCCAAATCATTTCTTTTTATATTCTGAATTACGATTTTTTTTTAATTCCAATTTTGTATTTATTACATTTTATAGTCCTTTACGTAATTTATTAACTTTTACTTGTTAAGTACTTTTAATAATACATAATTTAAAATGTAACAGAAAGTCAAAAATCGCCATATATTAATTAGTTATCTCTTTCATGTTTATTAAACTAAAAATGTATTTTAATGGAATAATATCTTCAATTTCTTTTCACTGAAATAAGAAATAACTGATTTCTTTAAACAGTATTTGATTTACTCCTTGCGGTTTTGTAGCTGCTCGCAGCTACCAATTTCTATTAACAATTTCCAATCACAATATTTAAATGGCTGATTACTTTTCTATTACTTCAAACTTCATTAATTTTTTCTTAGAATACAGTGAAATGAAATTTTAAAGTTTCATATAATCTTTCAACTAATGTTAGGGTATTTGTGTATTTCCCATTTAATCATTTACGCTGGTAAGTTTCTCTGAATGTTGGTTTAGTTCTAGTTAGTTAGATTTTCCTCAAAATAAATTTTTTACGTGTGAAACAAAATCTGATAAAATTACCAACATAATTCTGGTTAATAAAAACAAACATAATTCTGGTTAATAGAAACAAAATATGTATTTAAACCGTTAATTTGATAATTTTTTCGTTTATACGGTTTACCTGAAATTCTAATTTTCAAAATTATAGTTCTTCTCACTTTATATTTAATAAAAAATACAAAATTGGAAATTTAATTTAACCGAATAAATGATTTTTGTGCCATGCTCTAAGTTATCATGATAAAATTACCAAATTTTGCCGCATTTATACCAATTTTGATCATATATTATTAGACGATATTTTATTGTAAATTTTACTAAAATCATTACCAATCATTACAAATCATTACCAAACATTACTACAGTAAAAATTACCGAGCCTTATGGTGTTCCCATAAAGGCAGAAACACGGTAAATGTCATAATATTCTGGTAGTTTTGACCATATTTTTTTTCTCATTGCAGAGCTATATAAAATAAGCAAGGTTTTGAATATTTTAACAGGACAATAAATTCAAAAATGCCATATAGCCAGAAACACGGTAATTTTTACCTTATTATTTAAAGTTGGTTGTTTTGATCAAACTTTTTTCTTCTATATAATAATTGCCTATTCAGCAAATTTCAAATTAAAAATTTTTTTTGTGATGATTTGTGCCTTTTCAGTTTAACAAATTCTTACCTCTATCAGCGTTTCCGCAAAGAATCCTGTAGAAATCTCCTTTTCCAGAAACTAACGATGGCGAAGTTTCGTGCGGTGATGACATTTCGTTGGAGTCAGTTGAATCTGGATAATACATGTAAGTGGTGCAAAGCCAGCTGTCTTCTTCGTGGTAGAAAGCAGTGCAAAGATATCCCCTGGTTTCGAGACTTTGAGAACAAATGTCAGAGCAACTCTGAAAATGTTGTGTGTATACAGTTTCTAGTTCCATTGCGCCGTTTGGTTTTTTACCAGATTCCATAATATGAGCACGGTTTGGGCAAGCTTGACTTTCTGTAAATAGAAAAAGAGTTGACAATCAATTAAATTACATTTTATATTAAATTAGCTAGTTTTTGTGTCTATTAAATTAGATATACATGTGTTAAAATGATTTTCACAGAAATTACATTGTCAATTAAATATAATTTTCGCATGGACAAAATTGAATATTACAGTTGCCGAATTGTATTTAACGTATTTTAAACTAAATTCTGTATTCATTAAGTTAAAATTTTGCATATATTATATCGTATATTTAATAAATTTAGGTTTTGCACCTTACAAATTATAAATAATATCTGTTAAATTAACTTATTACGATTACTTCTTAATTATGATTATGATTATGTTAAATTGCAATTTATATATATTAAATATATCTTCACATTTGGGTATCATATCTATTAAATTGAATTTAATTTCTACTACCTTCGATAATCTATTAAATCGGATTAAAACCTAATGAATTATATTAATAATGCATCTAGCTAAATGAGCTTAATGAAATTATAAGTGTATACGAATAGCGTAAACTGGAGCAGTATATTTTTTTCCAATTAAATGCCTCAAATTTTTACCAATTAAATATTAAAAAGAGTTATAAAATTTTAAAAAAGTTAAAAAAATTAAATGTTTTTTCCAAAGTTTCATTTAAGATAAATACTGCTAAGTTTAAGTTTGATGTTGCCATCAATGAGCATCATGGTGAACTATATGCAGCAATGATAAATCATGCTTAATATTAATTACCAAATCAAATTTAGTTCAAAAGTGTGAAAGTTATCAATAATATTTTCAAGCTCTTTGTAATTAAGTTTTTACTATTTCGCATTTACATTTTTAATAAAGTAAAACTAGTGAAGAACGAAACACAAATGAACTATGCTCAGTTTTTTATCATCACAAATTATGAATCTCTACTTTATAACGCATGAAAATATAAATATTAACTTTTATTAAAGGATCATAATATGATTTTTAAATACTTGATTTCAGTTTAGTGTTAATCATTTTGTGGTCTTGAAAACAGTCTTTGAACTTCTATAAATACCTTCCATTATTTTTAAAATGAATTAAAATGATTGGCTTTTCAAAATAAGAGTCCATTTAAAACATCGGTAAAAGCCAAATTGATATTAATGTAATACCAGTATCAAAGAATTGCTAGCGCTAAGTGTTAAATAATCTAATTCTATATTTACCTGAAAGGCACATATTTTCAACATAATCACTGTTTGAATCACTTAGAAATCCATTAGGATTCATGGCTTTGGTATTTCTGCTGAGACGACATTTTTGACCACCTCTATCAAAACAAGCAGATAGACATTCAGGATCGTTGATACACTTTTCCTCACATTCTGTTCGATTAGTGGCGAAGACTTCTTGGTCTGAGAGGCTCTCGAAACAGAATCCTGGTGTTCTTTTGATAGCGTAAAGTCGGTTAGGGCAGTCATTAATAAGCCTTGGAGCTGTAAGAATATCATAAAAATCCGTTATTGCCTTTATTATGCATTTAGTCCAGAATGTAGAAAATCCATCAATACTCAAAATATAGCATTGGGATCCATTAAGATTCATCACCATTATGAGTATAGAATTGGAATAATTCATCAATATTTATAAAATGAAATTTGACTGATTCAGAATAAAGCATTGGAACATTTTCTCAATATTCAGAACATATAGCAAAAAATCGACTATATTCATAGATTTAAAATCCATTAATATTTATAATATTGCACAGAAATTCATCAATATTCCGAATATGATACATAAATCTATCGGTATTTAGAACTTAATATAAAAATTCTTTAATTCAGAAGAGGGCATTGGAATTCCTAAATATTTAGAATAAGAATAAATCCGTCAAAATTCAGAACATATGATAGAAATGCATCAATATACACATTCTTAGACTCTGAATATATGTAATTAGAAATTTAACATTATCTAGAGTATAGTGTGGAATTTCCTAATAAAACTTTATCAGATTTTTTATGGAAGTTAGAACTTACATGATATGCAGACTTTGTTGAAATGGAAGGTGTTGAGCTGTCTCACTAAAACATCCCCACCGTCAGGAGATGCTCTGTCGTGATACATATGGCATATGGATTCTTTATATTCTGGTTCAACATGTTGCTGATTATTGCCCATATGATTTCCAGATCTTAACCCGTTGTCGGGTCCGGATTCAGGCTGGTGAGTATGAGTATCGGGAACTCTTTGGCCAGGAGTAAAATCAAAGGATAGACATTTTGGGTCATCTTCACACCTCTGTTTGCAAGCTTGCAACACTCGTAAAGGGCTGTCCACTAGAGTGACCTAGAGTAGAAGAGCAGAGTGACCGTCAAATTTAACTGTTCCTTTTTGAGTTTTTTTTTTCAATCTTAAGATTAATAAAATGCATTTCCAATTATTGTTTTTAAATTTCTAATTACTTTTAGTGATGAAAATTTTCAATTAATTGATAAATGAGTTTAAATTTTGTAAAAAAAAAATATAGGCTTACCATTTCTCCTTTAGACATTCCAAAACCACTGTTTCCTCCCATTCGATAATTCATCACGAGTTCAAAGGCATATTTACCTAAACCATTATTGCAAGATTGAGCTAGGAGAAAGAAAAGTGATTTTAAGAACCCATAAATAAGCCGAGATAAAACTATTTCTATGATAATTACCATATTCATAACCCTTTGAATCAGAATTTTTATTATTAAACATATTTTTCATACTTTTTTCTTTTCTTTTTTGTATTAATACGGGACAAAATAAGTGCAAAATAGTATATTTAGCATTTTTATAACTTATGATTGTGAAATACGGCTTGAAACATCGGTGTCTTTTTCAGCATTAAAAGTAAAATCTTCCAAACACGGCTAACTTGCAAATAATAATTTTTCAAATTTTCACTTATTTGCAGTTATTTTGGTCTTGAGAATTAGTTATTCATCATTTAAATTTCTCTAATTTCCACAATCCATTATTGATAAATGTTTGAATAATAAATAAAATGAGTTAAAAGGGCATCACATGATTTCTGAGAATTGCCAAAGCAGCGATATATATAATATCCATGAGCTAAAATATTATAAAAGCATGTCAGAATTTTTTTTTTACGCAAAACGTACAAAAGGACACCTTTTTTCATTAAAAAAAAGTTTAATTATTTGGTTTTTATAATAAACACTCTTTTTTGCTTTCTTCAAAATTAATGCCATTAATTAAATTACTGATTAGTAGCTATCGTCATTAAAATATTGATTTGTCTTAAGATCATGTATATCATGGCGTTTTCTTTAAATTTCTATACATATTTTGAATGATGGGACTACACTAACCGGTGTTAATAAAAATATCCGATTCATACTTATGGGGAGCATTAGATGTTAAAATTTTGTATTTCATGTTTAAGTAAAATAATATGGTTGTAATATATATAAACCCCAGTTTAAATATCATTAGAAGGTATATGTATTATCAGTATTATAATGCTATGTTTTTAAAATTTATGGTGCATTAATACATTTCTATATCTTAATTACAATGAAATAGTTTTTTTTGAAATGATATTTAATTTCAAAATTAACTATTCACTATTAAAAATTAGTTATCACTATTCATTAGACATTTAATTATTCAGCTGCAAAATAAGAAATTCCTTGTAGTCTATTATTGTGATGGATTAGTTTTCAAAAATATTTTGTATATTTGTACTTTACAATTAAATCAAAGAATTTTAAAACAAAAATAATTAATTTAAAGATCAAAAGTTACATAAAAAAATTAAACCAAAAGTAATGTTGAGTTTGTTTTATTATTCTTTAGCACCAAAACATTTTTAACATGGCATTAGTGCCTAGTGCATTATTGTTATTTCGTAAGTTTAGTTTGTTTTTAAACAATAATGTCTGTGTATCGGGAAAAAATGTAGTAAATTGTTTTTATTTCAATGAAAATTATAAAATATGTTTGTTGTTTTATAAGCACTCAGAATGTAAAATTATCTAACATAATACATTTAAAATGTATTTGTCTATCGAAGTGTTCGATTTATGATATAATCGTTTCTTAAATTTATTTAGCAATGAAACAATCATATGCACTTCGTGTTAAATAATACAAATTACTTTCCTTTCAAAAAAGAAAAAAAATATAATTCCAAAAATATTTACATTATTGTTATATACAATTTTGTAAATATTTTTGTTGCATAATATCTACTCAAAATTATGTAAATTATTCTCTATATAACATTGAAATTGGCTTTCGTAAGTGCGGTGCTCAATATACTGTATAAGGTTACAATTTTTAATTAAGAACATTAAGAAAATTTATTTCGATAAAGATCTAATAAAAATCGATAAGAGCATTAGATTAAATTACAAAAAGAACCAGTTTGTATAAAGACGTAAAAGGATTATTTGAAAAATTACTTGGATTGAAAAAAGTTTACAATAATTTTGCATACAATATCTGAATTGATTTAAGGTAATGCATGATTTAAGGTTAGAGCAGTGTAAAAACGAAGATTTAAAAAACAAAGTTAAATTATTCAGACATGTAAGAAAAAACATCAAGTAACGAAAAATTAATTTTTGTGAAGACGGAATTATTGCTCGGATCATTAGAAGTTGAAGAAATTTACAATCATCCTGTATCGAATGATATTGTTATATTTCTGTAGTATAATCTATAATATATCGTATGTAGTTCAGAGGATTAAAATTTTTTAGTTAAAAATTCACTTAGGTATCTAAGAGCATAAGTATTAATAACTAAGTGTATAACTAAGTTGCGAAAATAAAATTACATGAAGACGAAAAATAACTTGGATCATTAGAAGTTGAGAAAGACTACAATGCATGTAATTTTTTGGTCAACATCACATACATTGTCAAAAATTCCGCCTCAAATTGCGGTCTAAAGTACCGGTACTTTGGATGCATCAACCATAAAATCAATTTTCACCGTAAAATAGTATACCGTGATTTTTACAGTAATATTTATTTAATTAAAGTCATGCAGGGGTTTAACGGTGATTATTACAGTATAAATTACGGGATATGGCATTTTTTGCTCCATAACATGTTATAGTATAAAAAGATTTCACGGTAAAAAAAAAACCGTCACCCTGGATGCCGATGTTTTATACTGTATTTTGATCTGGAATTTCTTATAGTGTAGTGTGGGATTTAATATAATGTCTGCAATCAGAAGCAGTAAAAAACTGTTCAACTAAAACTGACTTGGACATCTAAAACTATCAAGTGTGTGTAGGCATGAACATGGCCAGTTGAAAAATAACTTGGATTAAATGAAGTGATTTCATGCGTTACGTTTAATTTATTATATTAAATGCGACACGATCTCCTCCTCTTAAGTGAAAGTGGATATCCGGATTTTTATAATTTAATCCTGAGACTTATTCTTATGGGGATAAAAAGTACCGTTTTTTTCGTCATTGAAATAAATAATGATTTTGAATGTGTTTCCTGATTTTAATGGTTTTTGGTTTTGTTCAACCAAGGTTTCCTAACTTGAGTCTAACTATAAAAACCTTGAAATATGAAAAATTCTGATTAATTCAAAAGCAAAATCCATTGCTATTATTTTCGTAATGGTTAATAATAATTTAATTTTTTTTAATAATAGATTTTATTTAGTATTTATTTTTAATATTGAAATTTTTTTGTCCATGTTTTGAGCATTGAGCTTAACAAAATATCGAAAATTCTTTTATCTAATTAAATAAAAATTGCATGATGTACGTTCGTTTTTAAAAATAACATGTGTTTTTTAAAAATAAAATACAATATTTGAAATCAATTGATTAAGCTATTGTAATAAAATGCTTATGCGACATTGGTTCGTTTTTAATGATAAATACGGAATGGATTATTAAAGTAAAGAAAAAAATTTTCATTATTGTAATTAACATATTTGTACAACACTTAAAAAAGTAACTTTCATTATTAATGGTTTTTGTGTATTTCATAATTTATAGTTTGCAGTTCACTGTAATTTTTGCTTAGAACAAAACTCTACATTTCATTATACGATAAAATATTTTAAAAAAAGGACTATAGATTTTAAACTTACACTTGGATTGAATATTTTTCGTAATTGAAAATTTCTTATAAATAATAAGAATGTTAATTTTTTTAAAAGTGAAAATATGTAAGAGTTTTAAAAAATGCAGAATTATATAAATGTTATTTAATTTGCCATAATTCACAACTCCAATAAGAATATTTCAATAAGATACTAATAAGACTATGTATAGTCTAGTAATAATAATAATTTTTATGTAAGCATATTCAAAATAAGATTATTTTAAATTTGTTTCTACTTTGACATTCTTGATTATCTATGTTTTGGCAGATTAATTAAATTTACACTTCAAAATGAAAAGATGTTTATTAAATTTTAAATTGCTTATGGGGTTTTGCAAGAATGTATACTTTTTGAATTAATATTTCTTTTGAATCATTTTATAAAAAGAACATGGAACTTTTAGGTGAAAACAAGTCTTTATTTTTAAATATAAATTTCATTGCTTTTCACGTATAATTTTCACAATTTTTACATGACTTATATTAATATGGCCACCATATACAGGCTAAAATGTAAATAATATTCGAAAAAGAATAAAAACTTATGATTTTTTTTTATTTATTATTAAAAATGTTTAGGGTACTGAAGTTAGTAAAGAAGAGAGAGTTAGTTTCACACAGATAGAAAATACTATATCAGTGCGTTCAACATTCTAAATTTTGTTTAATAGCTAACAATTATACATTTAATCAAATAAAAAGTGAAACTACGCATTTCAAGAATTAAACACTGGTGAATTCGTATATTGGATGAATGGTTTATAAATTATTCACAAACAAATCATATTTAAGTAGATATTTCTTTAACGATATTAGTTTACACTATCGAGATTTGTTAAGACTAGTTTAGAAGATTTTAGTCTAGGATAACCTTAATTATTCAAGATTTAAATCATAACTTGCATAAATGTACGAATGCTTACACAAGACTTTTGAGCGCTAGGGCTCATTGCGCTAGTAACTAGAACTACAAGTCTTCCTAAACAGTACAACAAACAAATTGGAGAAAATGCAACTGAGTTTTGTATGTTTGAAATATAAAACTAAATTATTTTTTTAATATAATGTACAATTATAGTTCAAAAACTTAAAAAAAACTAAAAAATTAAATTCTTCTATTTTTTTTCCTTATATAGAAATTTGAAGCTCATGGTCACAATCAATAATATTTTTATGCTGTAATAATACATATTATATCTTATTGGTGTTATTCATGTTCCAGTAATAATGATTTATTCCAATATAGACTATTAATTTCAAATAAATTTCTATTTCGGGATAAATCACATTTCAGTTTTAATTTTAAAGATTTGTTATTTTGTTAACAACCACTCATCAATATATCAATAACTTACAATATACAATAACTTTCTAAATTTAAAATATCCACAGATTTTGTAATAATGCAATTTCGGATAAAATGTTACACGCGACGAATCATGTGATTCATTTTATGTACCACATTGTTACTAAACATTATTTATTATGTGGTTTTTAAACCATATTCCAGAAATTTTGCTGCACGAAATACGTATTTTTTTATAATACTCAATGTGTGTTATATTTTGAAGTTGGATTGAAATTGTGGAACATTATATTTCGCTTTAAGATGAGAGCCGCAGAAGTCCGCGCGCAGTTGGGTGTTTTGGAAGCGTGATGCGGAGTCTGGGAGATTACTTCCACCGTCTACTTTTGGACCTAACTTGTGAATGTGTAGTTCACGTATGCGTCAATATTGATTATAAAGAATGAATCCCAGACCGCTGTCAATAACTCATTAGAATAGCTCTAGTGTGATAGTTTTACAATTATGCAAATTTCAAACCTTTTATAATTGTTCAAATTTCAATAGTTATATTATCTTTCAAATTTCGTACGTTTTATGCATGATCGTTCGAACAATTGCAATTATCTGAGTATCAAGAAAGTTCTGATAAAAAAGTTTTTTTAGCACAAAATTACGTGCTGAAACCATTTCACACTAGTGCATAATTTCAAAATAATATTATTTGAAGCATAAGTGTTCCGATGAATCAAATTATGCTACTTTAATATTCGCCATAAGAAAACGCACGTTTCGCAAGAATTACAAAAATATTTTTAACCAAATATTGTTAACCGAATATTTATTTTTTAATTATTTTATAAGGATCCACCAGTTATTGTGGCCTTAGCTTATATGCGAAGTGTTCTAATGGCTACTATTAATTTTCAAAACCTTCAGTTTATCTGTTATTGTTCAAAAGCTTCAGTTATGTAAGAGTTTAAGAAAAATAGTTCTTATATCTTTATTTATTTAGGTTTCTAATGAAACTTTTTACGTTTTTTTCCATTGATTTATAGCATTTAACCCTTAGAAATATACAGAAGTAAAGTAAAGTATTAATATATACTATAAACTAATGATGTCTGAATCATTACCTACAAAGTTTAGTTGTAAATTACATCTGTAAATATACGTATTAGAGTATATTCTTGCATTTAACTAAACCCATATTGTGCAAACATCACACTTTGGTATCTGACTGACTCGCTCAACAATGCATATTGCACACTTTTATATATCCGACTGATAACGATACTCAAGATTATTTCATTAATATTAAATTTATAGGTATGAACAATATTAGTTAAATTATTCTTCTCAAAAAAGCAATAATAATATGTGTATGGGAAATGAAGATTTCGAGAATTTTTTGAAAAATTATTTCCAATTGCACATTTTACTAGATTTCAAAATAGCACTTTGTATATTTAAGATGTTCAGCTTTATAGTTCCACGTTTCGGGATTAAATAGCAAGTGATATTAACTCTTAGTTTAAGATTCAGATTGACATCTTAAGAAGAACTGAAGTGAAGAAACTTACCATCAGTAAGCAGGCGCAGAGCAGCTAAGAAAGAAACAAGAGGTATCATAGTGATAGAATGAAGTTTCATGTTTGGTTTGAAGTTCAACAAAAAATAGTTCTATTGCACCCAGTTAGCATTCCTTTGGGGCCAAAATCCACATGCGATGCACTGAACAAGCTACCGAAGCCGGACTGTTAGAAACGAAGTCCGAGCGATAAGTGAGTGATGACCACTGGGCATAGGGCACTAATATGAGTGTTGTGACGTCATTACAGGGGCCAATGTCAGAGCATCCGGGGCGCGAGAATGGGCATCCGGGAAAAGGTGATCTACCGGCATGCGAAGAGTTCATAAATTCTAAAATGGGTGGTCACAGCCAAAAGGAAATGAATCGTTTGCTATGAACTTTAGATGATGTCCATCAAAACGAATTGGTAGCCATTTTGTTCCACAATTTGACTTAAAATATGCACAGAGAAAGTGATCTTTTTATTTATAACTGCATTTGTAACTAGTTTTTGACTGATTTGCATAAGTGAAGAAAGAAGAGGAATGCTGATTGAGTTATTACGTTTTCGATTTTCATGCGTCTGAAAATGTCGTAACTGATGCTTAATTTAGCTGAAAACAATAAAATAATTTCCTTAATTGTTTAATTTTTATTTTGGATTTAAAACAGTTCTTTCATAATGTTAATTTTTTGTCCATTTTTTCGTTATTGTTTCACAAACGATGTTTGAATAACTTTTTTGATTTATAAAAATTTATAACTTATCTGTAAACCATTTAACATGAAGCAATTCTCATGCCTTATTAAGAATAAAATCATTAAAAAATAAAGTTAAGAAAGCGATTTTAGAATGCAATATTTATTAAATATTTGGCATAAAAATTGTATTTTCTTTTTCTCATAAGCAAAACAATATTGATATTTTAAATAATATTTTTGCACGTCTAAAACCATCACACTTACAAAATATAACAGTAACAGATAGAGGTTTTTGTCCGAATTAAATATTGCTTAATTTAAAAATTAAGCAGAAGGAGAATTATGTTCAATAAAAACAGGTGACCCGTTTTTAAATCCGAAAGTTTAAGCGGTTTTAAAATCATACTAGGCATCTTCTCGAAAGTTTTTCTCAACTTACAATATATTATTCCTAAAAAGATTTGTTGCTCAAACAAAGTATCTAAATTTATTAAATAACAAGAAAATGAATAGAAAATGATTCCAAAAAAATACAGTGCTCAGCTTACTTTTTATTTTCCTTTTTACATATTGCCAAACTTAATTAAAGCATATTAGAGTCAATAATAGCATGATTTTTCATAATTTCCTTAAAAGAATAAGAACCCCTTTCTTATTAATCCAACTTGCTAGAACGTAGACTTATTTTTTATTTCATAAAACCTACTACTAAACGTAATTAAGTTATGTTGGTATCAATAATAGTAAGTACGTAATAGTAATTTACATTTCTCTTATACGAATTCGAACTATTGCTCTATTGATTTGTTTTTCAATGCATATTATTTTTTTAATTTAAATTATTCTTGATTTAAATTAGTTAGTTTTGTAGATTCACGTTTTAAAAGCTAATTATACATAAAATAGTCAGATGGTTTCAAATAACTATAGGAATACTAATTTGATGACGTAATCTGCAAATGCTAAAATGTTCATGCTGATCAATCACGAGTGAAATTGTTCCAATTCACTTAAAAAGTTCTTGAGATATAGCGAAATATGCAAAAAAAGTTAACATTATTTTGATTACAAATACATTATTTTGAATACAAATTATCTGACTTAACGAATAAATTTGACATGACGAATAAAATGTAATGAAATAAAGAGCGTTAAAAAGGCTCTTTTTTTTAATGAGAGCTATTAGATCGAAAATATCACTAATGTAATTCTTAAAATATTTGAAATAAAGTAAATCGTCTGCAGCAGTCTCATTTTTATCAATGGCAAGTTCTACGCCAGTGAAGAATTCTATTTTTCTTACTACTCTACCGAAGGAAATAATTGAAAATTTCGAACGAATTTTAGGATTAAGGGCCAAATTTGCCGCTTACTGTCGTTGTTCAAATTTCAGAATGATAGAACGAACGGTTTTTAAGTTATAAGAGAGACACAGGCACAAACACAGAAACTCTTCATTTTTTTATAATAGATATAATAAAGTATTTCAATATTCTTGTAGCAATTTTTTGTATGTAGTTAAAGCGTTAAAAACTATTTTAAAACTTTTTTATTGAAAATATGAATGCAGAATTTCCTTTTATAATCTCATTATAAGGCATTAATATCAGATCACAGCATCCATAAGTAAGTTATAAAATTGAACTGCTGTTCATATTTAGAAGATAATCGGGTATACAAAAGCTTAAATGTCTTTTCTGCTATTTTAAAATTATTACGAAGTAACTTTTAATTCATGCCATCAAATAGTATTAACATGTAATTTTTTTTAATATTAAACGTTAAATTTATTAGTTTGAGAAAACTGTTCCAACTTGGCCAACTTAATAAGTTGACTTAATAATGTAATATATACTGTTAGAATTTAACAGGTTCAGAAGAATGAACAAGTTAGTAACTAGTAATCTTTTATTTTAAATTAAATATTGCATATTTATTTGTTTTCCGTAAGTATATCAATTGATTATAGTGATTCTTTCTAACTTAAAATTTTATGTAACTTACTAATGTAAGATAAATTAAAATTTTTATTTGAGTATTGTAGTTTTAGAGAAAATTTAATGTATTTTCGCAATAAATGAAAATCATTTATGCTTTAAAAATAGATGACTTTTTTTCCAAAAGAAAATCACCATCCAAAATGTTTCTTAAAAATATAGACTTAGCCTCTAACTAGAATGCTAGCTTCTTCCAACACATGCTTAAAATTGCTTTTCTTCGATAAAATTAAAAGAAAAAAAAATTAATATCACCAATTTTATCTATTCTGACAATTGAAAACATATAAGCATTGCATTTTAGGGATTCTTGAACAATAAACTTTAAAAAAAAAATGCTACGAAACTGCTTTTAACTGCTGCTTAATTTCCGAACTTCCAGAAAATATTTTTCCTTATGATAGCAAAGGTTATATGTAATTAATTTTTTAAACTGAAATTAAAGAATTTTGTCCACCATTACATATAGATAACTAAAACAAATATATTGAACTAGGAGGCTTCGCCCCCTGCTCGCTGGCGCTCACCAACCCCAGGAACTGCTTTCCCAGTTCATTTCGGATTGCTTCGCAATCCAATGCTCCCTCTGCTCGCTCATTAGATACGTTCTTAACGTCTAGTTTTTGTATACTTTTTTGAATACTGAAGTTCCGAAAACTTTTCACTGTAGAAAATTCTAAACCTGTACATTTCAATATTAATTTGAAATTGCAAACAGTTCACATATTTTTCTTAATCACACTATTCTAAATTTCAGTTGTTGAGAAAAGTAACTGTTGTAAGTTTTGTTTTAAAGTCTTTCCCAACAGAGGGCTAAAACCATGTGTTGTAAAACAATATGAAATAGTAGTCTGCCACTGAACGCCGGATGTAAAGCATCGGCTTCGATTAAGATAATTTTATAATTTTAATTCTTTGAAGGGCGTCACCCTAATAATATGGAATTTGTAAAATAAATGTATATATTTTTGAATGCTGATGACGCCCATCATTTTGTGTTTTTATCAATGTTCAGAAGCAGAACAACTGTAAGTTTTTTATTTTATCACAAAAAAGTAAAATGTATAAAAAACAAAGAAAAGAGGAAGAAAATGAGTATAGTCATAGAAAAAGTTAAAATTATAATATAGTATTTGTCAGTTAAAATAAAACTTTTTGTTTAAGTCATTGCTAACAATTCAAATTTCTCCGAGGAAATTCTAAAGTATAAATTAAGGCAGTATTGTTAAGTTGAAACACAATATCTTTAACTTTGTTAACAATACAATTCAATTTTTCACAAAAACGATTGTTTCCATTGTTAAGTTCAATGTCAACAATTCAAATTTTTCTGAGGCAACTCTTAACCTCTAAATATTATTTTTTTTTATGTACACTTTTCTAAATGTCAGTATTCAACCACAAAACAACTTAAAATTCTCAAATTTAGCATGAAGTTGTAAAATGTAATGAAAGAGGGTCATGAAATGATGAAAGTAGAAGTAAAGTTAGTACTGTAAAATTAAAACAATATTTTTAATCAATGAGCCAAGTTCTTCAAGTAGTAGTTGTAGAAGTAGGTTGTTTATTTAAAACTTTTTATAGAATTTCTTTAAGAACACAATTGTTAATTTGGACATTTGGCGATACAACACTT